ATACTATTCCAATTCGTTTGAGCGCTTCAGTACGCTTCTGGAAGACATTTGCTCGTCAAAATTATCAGAAATAACCATTCGGCATTCGGCATTCAGGATGAACCACGTGGCATAATCTCTGCAATGCGCCATGCATACGACTCCAAAGCGGAGGGGTTGAAAAGGTGTATCTTCCTGACAGGGCTTCCTCTATGAGCTCACACGGTTCACAAAAGTCCGAGCGTTTCTCTTTGTTTATCGTCTCATAAGGTCGTTGTGAGCGACCGTGGCACTCTCTGTCACCCAAACCTTCAACGACCGCACAACATCTGATATTGCTGCTCTTCCCACTTCTGAATGAACCCTGCGCTCACGTTTTCCTCCCCTCCCCCATTGTGATTTTCATAATTTTCATAACGATGATGTCCCCTGAGCGGAAGGCGCCAAGCAGACCCGTCTATGGCTGCTTTTCAGCGTAGCATCGCCTTCACGGGTGTCATCGCGAGTTCTGAATGCTGACTTGGGATAGATTCTAAGCGACTCACAAGCGCTTATGAAGGGTTGCTTATGCTTACACTTCACTGTTTGCTCGAAGCATTTGTTGCGAAATTTTCTGTTTGATTTCGCCAACGATTGGTTTCTATTAAGTTGGTCCATAAGTAGTGGCTTTTTTCTTACACTAAATTTCACATGAAAATTGAGACTTATTTTCTGGTGTGTTCTGTGTCATTTGGAAGACAATTTTCTGCTCTATAAGCTGGTACTGTTCTTCCTACTACTTCTTGATTTTTGTAGATTTTTATTCTATTGAAATGCTGTGCCGGTGTGTCGGATCGAAGCAAAAATGAGTTTTTGACAACCACATTTTGCACTCAATCTAGGCCCCCAAATCACAGAAGAAGCTGTGATATATGTGACCAAGGAAAGATGCTTCTTGTGACGGCTCAAACTGGGGTCGAGTGATGAGGAGATGGGAATTCGGACCTTGTGAATGTGCATTGCATAGGGCGGATGGACAGAACCCATCCACCAAGTTTTGAACCTCTCCCATCAATGAGGGTGGTGCTCAATGATGATGTGGAAGCATTCCATGACCTCTAACGATTCCCCATTCTTTGGCATGGATCTTCTCAAATAAGCTGATCCAGTAAGCTCTCTGTTGAACTCAGTAGGGCATTAGGATTCGGTGCTTGTCTTGTGAAGTCTAAATTAAAATATTCTAAACGCTCAAACGGTCATAAGTATTTCTAAGAGACACAAATTTCCTGGCCGTATAGTTAACAAGAAGGTCTGGGCTTTTTAATGAGGTTCAAAAAAGGAGAGGCTGTCGAGAATGCTCAAAATGTCGTCGACCTCACATACCAATTTGAGCACTTAAAACTGGTGGGAACAGGATCTTCAGAAAAAAAAACTGAGAGGACCACGTCATAGAGCAAGAAGTATTCCGCAAAATAGTACAAAACACAATAGCGAAAGTATTCATTTGCGCGAAATTACGAGTAAGAAAAAAAACGCCATTACTTATGGCCAACCCAGTAGTTTCAGCTTTTTCTAACTTAGGATGAACGGCGTTTGTCCAATGACACCCGAAAAAGCTTGATAAGTTCATTTATCGTACTAGTTGAATAATCAGTTGGCAGTAAATTGCATGTATAACAGTTAGCTCTGTAAGCAGGAATGTAGCCCTTGGAGTCGAAACATTGCCTGTTGTGGGAAAGGGAGAGTAGGAGTAACAAGTGAAAGTCTTGACAATCTTTCATTTACAGGGTGTTTGGTCATAAAACAGTCGTTATCTTACAGTGCTAAGAGTGAGTTCTTGGTTTCAGGGGATCAAAGAATCTCTGTGATGAATTATCAATCAAACTTGGATTTTTTTCTCATGAGAAAAAAATTGCCATGACTTATGCCGCTACGAAAGCGATCGTAGCTAAAATCGAGGTCTGCGACCACCTCTGCAGGCCGTTCTGGGAACGAAAACCCAGATAGCTATAGTTCTTGAAAGAAAGAAATTTTTAGCCTTTGAGCGGCTAATCCCTAAAGAGAAAACATTGGTGACAGAAAGTGCACAATTTCTGAGATTGGTTTTAGGCACAACCACTAATTGAGCTTGCGATTATAAAAACCGCTGCGCGGAAATCTAAGTTAAAACAAACGACACTAAGAGTTTTGGCGTTTGGATTTCCGAAATGGACTAATAAAGACATTGCGCCAGAAAACAAAAAAAAAACGAAACAGCATGGAAACGTGTCTTATTACGATTCAAAAAATAGAGGAAGCTCTTTGTTCGAACCTAGGGAGGATATGGACTTCGAGGTGGGTGAACTGATCTCTCTGGGTTAAAAATTTCGCATTACAGCAATCCCAGTGCCTCTAGTGCAATCAGGGTACAGCATTGTGATGTGTGATATGGCGCTGTCAGTACGACCGCCTC